CGCCGTCGCCGTCGCCGTCGCCGTCGTCGTCGTCGTCGTCGTTTCGTCGTCGTCGTCGTCACCGTCGTCGCCGTCGTCATCGTCGTCGCAGACGATGGCGGGGGTGGGCCCTCCCTTTGGGCCCTCCCCCCCTTTTTCGCCTCCCCCCCGACCCTTGGGATGGGGGGGCGGGGACAAGAGCCCCCAACCCACCCTGGGTTTCCGAGGAGGCTGTGGGGGGGTGATTTTGAAGGGTGCGCCCACCCCCTCTCCGTGTTTATCGGGAGGCAGAATTCTATACCCTAGTTGGACGGGTTGGACCCCGGTTGGGCGGGCTATCTATACCCTGGCAAAGTTGGGCTACACCCCGGTTGGAGCTTTTGAGAGACCCCAGCACACCACACACATGCACACACAAAACACCACACACCAAACACCACACATCAGACCGAACCCCCAAACCGCAAACCACAAACAACAAACCCCAAACCACAAACAACAAATTAACCCCAAACAGCAAACACCAAACATCAAAAACCCAAACCCAAACCCAAATACCAAGCACCAAACCCCAATCACCAAACCCCAAGCACCACACCTCAAACACCAAACCCCAACCACCAAACACCAAGCCCCAAACGCCCAACCCCGAACACCACACGCCAAACGCCAAACGCCACGCCGAACGCCAAACACCAAGCAAACCAAACACCAACCACACCAACCACACCAAACACCAAACACCAAACACACCAAACACCACACACCAAACACCAAACACCAAGAACAAAACACTGGACACAAAGCCCTCGACGTGTGCCTCTTTCCGCCTCCCGCATTCCTCGTCGTTCTCCCTCCCCCCTCGTCCTCTTCGTCGCGGGACTTGCCGACGGCTCGCGGGCAGGACAGCGTGCTTGGGCGCGGGCAGGGGGAGGGGGAGGTCGAGGAGGGGGAGGCGGAGGAGGAGGAGGAGGAGGAGGCGGAGGACGCGGAGGAACACCTTTAGCTCGGGAGATGCTGCGATTCCCGAGGCGTTCCTTGGATCAGAGTCTGGAGACCCTGTTGTGGACGGGTTCGCCGTGGCCGCCGAAACCCCTTCGTTGACTAATTTTTCTTTCGTATGGCGCATGATGGAAAAGGGTCCCGAGGGAAACGGCTCCTGGAGGTTTTTCACCGCTTTCGGGCTCTGGAGACCTCAGCGGGTCCACAGGCTCTTCTAAAGTTCATGAAGGTGTCTTAGGTTTTACTCGGTTTCATGTTTGGATTATTTAAGAATTCCTGAGGGTTCCTTTGAATCCGTTGCACATGATTCCACAGGACCCCGAGGATTCCTGAGGATTCCAGCTCGGCGCACCCTTGGGAAGCCTGAGGATCTGTCGGGGTTCCGTGGGGTGTCTGCGGGTTCTTGAAGATAAGGTAAGATTCCTTAGGGATGCGTGGGGTTTCTTCTGATTATTGTAGGGTTGTTCGTGCTTTTTTGGGGATCCACGATTCGCATTGAAGTCACATGCGGTTCAGATAGGAATCGCAAGCGGCCCACATATGGTTCGTATGCGCTTCGAGCCATACACGATTCGTACACGGGCACAGCATGCGGTTCACAGGAGTCGTAGACGAGTGACGTCGGCGTGTACGGTTCACAGAGGGAGCATGGACGATCCGCACAAGATTCGTACACGGTTCACGTAGGAATCGTGTACGATTCACGTAGGAGTAGTTTCGAATTCGCATAGGAGTCGCATGCGACACAGATCGGAATCGTAGACGTTTCACATTGGAGTCGTATGTTACCCATAAAACAATGGAATGCGATCCTCATCGGGATACGATACACTGAAGTCGTATCGTAACGTATACGATTCACATCGGGCCGTTATAATATTCACAGGATTCCTATACGATCCACATTAGAATCGTATACGATTCACGTAGGAATCGCGCACGATTCATGTAGGAACCGTATCCGAATCACATCGGACTCTTATGCGGTTCACGTAGGAATATAATCGATTCACACCGTGTATTCCGATATCTGTGTACACGTTTACACGGGAGGCGCCCGTTCATAGTATCATTGCTCCAGGAAATCATGTGGGTCTTTCAGGGCACACGACTGGCACTCCAGATGTTTTCGCGATGGCTTACAATCGGAAATCAATTGCGGAAGTCCTCCGAAACTTACATTCCAAAAAGGGTGTCCCCCGGTCAATTTGAGTATTGCCCGTCCAACGGGGGTATAGCCCATCCAACCAGGTTATAGATTTTTGCCGTTTCCGTGAGGGGGTGATCATTTTTATAAGGCGCCCGTGAAACGCGTTCTGTCACAGAAGGCATGGACATTAGTTTTGAAAGGTCCGCGCGGATTTCTCGGATCGGCGCTGAGCTCCCCCTGGCGGCGCCGGAGGCGCCGCCCCTGGCGCCCTCCGCGCGCCAGGGACGGGGGTCCCGGCGGGCGCCGATCTGAGAAATCAGCGCGGACATCCAAAAGTGCGAGGACGGGGAGGACGAGGAGGAAGGAGGCGGGGGGAGGCTGCAGGGGGGTGGGGAGGGAGTGAGGGACGTGCGGAAGGAGAGGGATTGCGCAGGGAGGTAGGACGAGCAGGAGCTCTGGGAGAAAGAAGGCGGAACTTTCCCTGCCTCGCGGCGGATGCGCTGCGGCTCGTTTGGGCACACCTCTTCCCTGCCTCGCCTCGGCCTCCATCCCCCCGCCCCCTCCTCCTGCCCCTGCCACCCTCGGGGGTGCAGCCATGCCCCACCCCCGACCCCCCGAGACCTTCGGGCCGTCCCTGGAGGAACGCCAACTCTCCGCTGGGCTCCCGCGTCGCGGTTGCTGCGCCCCCGCGCTCGATGCGGGCCTTGGCCCCCTTCGCTTGCCCCACTGGCTCCTGCCAGCGGCGCGCACGAGGGAGACCGCGCGAGAAGGCGGCTGAGAGGGCGGGACGGCTCTTCAGACGGCGGGAGAGCCCGGCGGCCTCTAAAGAGGCCTCTTGGGGGCGGGAAGGGGTCCTATGGGACGCCCCTTGCCTTCTGAGGAAGTCTGCGGCCTTCTTGGAAGGGTGCCCGCCTCGCACCACACCAGCGTGCAAGCCGCACACAGCCTCCCTCTCTGGACTTTCCGGGTGTTGAAAAATTCCCGAGGCGTACCCAGCTCGGGCGGGTCTTAAGAGGTGGTGACCTGAATGGGGGGGCGGGAAAAAGGGGCTCAAAGGGTCACTTCAGGGCCACTTTCTTTACCTCCTATTTGCGCCAACCCCCCTGAACACCCGCCCTTACCAATCCTTTCCAAACGCGAGGCGGCTATCAATAGGCCCGTTCAGCACAAACGGATGCAGTCGCGCAGATCGCAGCCCCCTAGGGAGCGGCTCGGCCGCGAGGAGTCTCGCATGTAAGTGCGCGACAAACCACTCCGCCGGACCTCCGGGTGCGCGTGACAACCCATTCCGTTGGACCTCCCAGGAGCCCACGAAAGTCGCGACGATTCGGACGAGGACGAGGACGACGATGAGGAGGATGCAGGCCACAGCGCTCTATTCAAAGCGAGAACCCAAGCCGAGGGAGGATTGGGACAAGTTAGCCTGGCCAAGGACCCAACCATACGCAATTGTGAGTTTGGTGGAGCCCCCTGGGAGGGGAAAGGCGAAACGTGTGAGTAGTGTGCCGACATGGTGAGGAGAATGCATGCGGGCCTTGACGCTGGCATTGGGGCCGTATAGTGGAGCTCTCTATGTGGCCACGAAGCGTGTTAGGGGTGCGCCCACATGGTGTGGAGAATGCATGCGGGCCCTGGCACTGGGGCCTTAGGTGGAGCTCCCCATGAGGGCCACGAAACGTGTGAGGGGTGTGCCGACATGGTGTGGAGAAGGCATGCGGCCCTAGTAACTGGGCCGTACGGTGGAGCTCCTCGTTGGGTCACGAAACGTGCGAGGGGTGCGCCGATTTCTTGTGGGCCTCAAGGGGCGGAGAGATCGAAATATCGGTTCGTGCTCACCCGCTGGGGTCATCTTGAGGCGTTCTTGGGGCCCTCTTGGGCTGCCTTGGAGGCCTCTTGGGCCGTCTGGGGGGCCTCTTGGTCCGTTTCGGCGCCCTCTTGAGGGCCCCTGAGGCCCTGTTAGGGCGATACTTGGGGCCTCCTGTGCCGTCTTGAAGCGTCGGGAACGAAGAGGCGAGGACCCCAATATCCTTCAAAAACCATCGAACAATCAATGAGTGCTGCCCCTTGGGGCTCTCTTGGGAGGCCTCTTGAAGCCCTCTTCTGGCGTCTTGGAGGCCGTTTGGGCCGTCTGGGAGTTGTGGACCTCCGTATAGAGCCAAAATGCCTGTGAGGGGTACGTCGAAATGGTATGGAAAGGGCATGCAGGCCTTGGCACTGGTCCCGTCTATGGAGCTGCTCATTGGGCCACGAAGCGTGTGAGGGGTGCGCCGAAGTGGGTATGCGGAGGGCAGATCCTGGTATGGGAGGAGGGCGGAGGGTGAAAGAAGGAGGAGAGGAGAGGACGCGGGGCGGTGCGTATTCAAAACGAGGACCCAACACCACGTGATGGAGGGGAGCAACGCGGAGGGTTACTGTTCTCAGCCTCTGGGGGGCCTCGCTGGGCCCCGGGGCCGTCAGGACAGCGCTCCAGACGAAGAGCAGATCCTGGGGAGCTGGCCAGGATGCCAGAGGTCCCATGCCCGCACAATCAGTGCAGAGGATCTCTGGGCTTTCCCTTTGGTCCTACAGCCTTCCCGCCAGCAGTCATCCCCCTCTTCCTCCCTGCCCTACCCCCTGCTCGTCCTCTCGGCAACGCGCAGACGGGGGTAGGGCGGGGGGAGGCTTCTTCGAAGCACCCCTGCTCCTCAGAAGGCGCGGGCCTTCTCTGTAGATGGAAGGTCGGCGCCTTCTGAGAGGCAGCCTCCTTCTAAGCAGCCTTCCCCCCCTCCCCCTACCCCCCTGTGCGCGCCGCCAGTCCTCCCCGCCATGCTCGTCCTCTGTCCGCAGGTCTTCGCTCCTGACTTTCTCGCCTCTCCCGTCCCACTTCCCCAGCGGGCCCCGACAGGGGGGGACCGCCCCAGGGGCGGGAACATCGGCCCCCCCACCGCCCATGCAGCCCCAAGTCCGGGGCCCGGGTGCTCCACCGCGCCCACTCGAAGAAGACGCACGGCCTCAGCTGAAGTGCTCGGAGTTTCGCGTGGACTTCTTGGATCCGCGCTGGACCCCCCGAGGCGGCTCCAGCGCCGCCTCTGGCGCGCTCCGCGCGCCAAGGGGGGGGGGGGATCCAGCGCCGATCCAAGACTATCGGCGTTCTTTTGTTCAAGGTGGCATGCACGTCCGCTGTCGGAGGTCCGCGTGGACGTCTTGGATCCGCGCCAGACCCGCTGCGGAGGCGGCGCTGGCGCCGCCCCTGGCGCGCTCTCCGCGCGCCAGTGGAGAGAGGGGCGCGGCGCCGACCTCCAAGAGACCCGCGCGGACCTCGTGAGCGGTGCGCGCCGACGAAACCGTTTGGCGAGTCAGTTGGATTTCGGGCTCGGCAGCAAATCGTGGGAGCCTGGTCTGCCCTCCTGATTCCGTCTTGAGCGTCGACTAGCGTCGGTCAGCGTTTGGGAGTCGATGGGCTGGCGCCGATTTAGCGTCGGCTGGCGTCGGTTAACGCCGATGTAGCGTCGCTTAGCGTCGATAAGCGTCGATTCGCAAGAGCCGACAGGAAGGTATGGGAGGCCCTCATGAGTTGCCACCGAATTCGGGGCCATTCTGGCGGCGCCTCCCGCGCCGCCACTGGCGCGCTCCGCGCGCCAGAGAGGGGGGGATCTCCAGCACCGATCCAAGAAGCCTGCGCGGGGCTCAGATGTAAAGTATGTTTGCGCCTTGCTGTGGTTCCTCTGGAATGGGTGGTGTGTGCTGAGCTGCGAACGCCGGGCTCGGAGAGTCCAGTCAACCGAAGCGTGCCCGACGTGCGCACGGGTGGAGGTCTGCCGAGCCTCGGCTTCGGCGGCGGAGAGCCCAGCCCTGCCCTCGCCGATCCACGGTTCGGGCACCTCGATGGGCGGCGGGGTTCGGAATTCGTAAAAACACGTGGCGATATCCGAATCCACCCGCCGCCTCCCTCCACCGATTCCGGCGAATTGACAGTTGGGGGGGGGTAGGGGTTGGATGTCTTTGGCGGCTGCGCGCAGTCGGGGGGGATGGCGCGGGCGTGGGCGGCTTTCGGAGGCGAGGGGGAGGGGCCTCTCAGAAGGCAGGGAGCTCGTCGGACGCTCGCCGAGCTTCGGAGACGCCTCCCTGGAGGCTTCGGGCCCCCCTCCTACGATCCAGTTGCGCTGCCGCGCGATTCCGCCCCTGCGCTCGGGCGGGCGCGGGGGCTGGGGGGCGGGCGCTTGGGTGTGGGGGGGGGGACAACACATGTGTGTCTGCCTTCTCGCTTCTTCGCTTCCGATTTGTTCCCAACCATCCTGTGGTGTTGGGTCCTCGTTTTGAAGGGACGGTGCCCCGCGTTCCTCTCCTCCTCCTCCTCCTCCTCCCCCTCCTCCCTCTTCCAATCGTCATCATCATCATCATCATCATCATCATCATCATCATCATCATCATCATCATCATTTTCGTCGTCGTCGTCGTCGTCGTCGTCGTCGTCGTCATCATCATCATCATCATCATCATCATCATCATCATCATCATCATCATTATCATCGTCATCATCATCGTCATCGTCACCGACGCCCATTTCGGCACACCCCTCATACGTTTCGTGGCCCCATAGGGAGCTCCACCGAAGGCCCCAGTGGCAGGGTCCGCATGCCTCCCCATTACCCATTTCAGCACACCCCTCAAACGTTTCGTGGCCCCATAGGGAGCTCCACCGAAGGCCCCAGTGGCAGGGTCCGCATGCCTCCCCACCACTCCACACCCCTCACACGTTTCGCGGCCCCATAGGGAGCTCCACCGAAGGCCCCAGTGGCAGGGTCCGCATGCCTCCCCACCACTCATTTCGGCACACCCCTCACACGTTTCGTGGCCCCATAGGGAGCTCCACCGAACGCCCCAGTGGCAGGGTCCGCATGCTTCCCCACCCATTTCGGCACACCCCTCACACGCTTCGTGGCCCCATAGGGAGCTCCACCGAAGGCCAGTGGCAGGGTCCGCATGCCTCCCCACCACCCATTTCGGCACACCCCTCACACGTTTCGTGGCCCCATAGGGAGCTCCACCGAAGGCCCCAGTGGCAGGGTCCGCATGCCTCCCCACCACCCATTTCGGCACACCCCTCACACGTTTCGTGGCCCCATAGGGAGCTCCACCGAAGGCCCCAGTGGCAGGGTCCGCATGCCTCCCCACCACCCATTTCGGCACACCCCTCACACGTTTCGTGGCCCCATAGGGAGCTCCACCGAAGGCCCCAGTGGCAGGGTTCGCATGCCTCCCCACCACCCATCTCGGCACACCCCTCACACGTTTCGTGGCCCCGTAGGGAGCTCCACCGGACGCCCCAGTGGCAGGGTCCGCATGCCTCCCCATTGCCCATTTCGGCACACCCCTCACACGTTTCGTGGCCCCATAGGGAGCTCCACCGAAGGCCCCAGTGGCTGCGTCCGCATGCGGTTCCACCCCCCATTTCGGCACACCCCTCACACGCTTCGTGGCCCCATAGGGAGCTCCACCGAACGCCCCAGTGGCAGGGTCCGCATGCCTCCCCACCACCTATTTCGGCACACCCTTCACACGTTTCGTGGCACCAGGGGGAGCTCCACCGAAGGCCCCAGTGGCTGCGTTCGCATGCGGTTCCACCCCCCATTTCGGCACGCCCCTCACACGCTTCGTGGCCCCATAGGGAGCTCCACCGAACGCCCCAGTGGACCCTCGAGTCTCGCGCGCGCGCGAGTCATGGGATATCTGGTCTGTCTCGTCTGTCGCGATGCTGGCAAGACTTATTGGATCCCCGACACCAACCCCCGCCAGAAGTGCAAGTTCTGCAATACCCCCTTTCCTGGCCGCTCCAGAGGACAGGGTCCAGGAAAGTATGGTCGCAAAGGCGACAAAGACGGCAAGGCAGGAGCAAAGGCAGTGGCAGTGATCGTGTCTTGTCTCCTCCCCGTGCTCGTGCTCATGATCGTCATGCGTGTGACGGTACTGCCACTCCCCCAGTTCGGTCTTTGGATGAACGTTTCCAGGCTCCATTGGAAGAGGAGGTGCAGGATAGATTCGGTGATGATTCTGGCGACGACGGTTTTGGCAGTGATCGTGGTTTTTGGGCTGATTATGTTGGCGACGACATTGATGCTGATGGCGGCTGTGTCGACACCAATGGCAATGAGCTCTCGGTTACGCAGGTTGATCAGACTATCAAGGCCCTGCAGGGCCAGTTGGGGTCCCTTCGCTTGCTTCCCCCAACCAAGTACGTTCGGGATCAGGTCTTGGGTCTCCAGGATGAATTGCAGCATCTTCGTGCACAGAAGTCTGACATGCTTACGGTTCCCCAGAAGCGTGCATTCTATAAGCAGCGTCACCATTGGGCCAGTAAGAAGTTTGACAAGATCTCGAGTCAGATTCGTGAGTTCGACCGCAAGATTCTGGACCTTCAGAGCGACAGGGATGCCCTCTGTGCCCGTCAGGAGCGTGTCGCCCAGGATATGGCTATGTGGCAGTCTAAGTTGCAGGATCTCCCTTCGAGTGAGCCAGGTCCCGAGGGTGGCACACCCCCATATCCGTCAGCCGTGGCGGACGTCTTCGCAGCTTCCCAGGCAGTTCAGAGAGACAAGAAGCTTGCTCAGGCGTTACGTGACCTTCAGGGCATCGTTATGTCTGGTTATGCCCCCTGTTGTTGTTGCCAGCGAACCTCGGTCCCAGTCGGAGGAGCCCAGGATGTCTGTCGACCAGCAAGGGGTCCCATCACGTGTTGCCAGGGCCCCATCCCCGCTCTTCTTCCTCATTGCCTCCTGCGCCGAAACGTCCTGCGCACGCCCCTGATGTCGCTGTTGATCCATTGGGACAATCAGGGGGTTGCACGCCATCGGCTGCCGCCGCCTCTGCCCCCGCCGACACCCCAGCAGCGGCAGAGAGTCTCCAGGGCTCCAACGCCAAGGGCCCGTCTGACCTTTAGTACATCGGAGACCCCGCCCGACAAGTCAGCCTTCGTGAAGAAGCCTCGTCGGGACTGGGTCATCGTCACTGTGAACGTTACCTCCTGGTCTAATGCCGATATTTTCCTGGAGGCTTATCCGGATCGGTTTGATGCTGTTGGGTTTCAAGAACTCTGTCGTTCAGAAGAGGCTATCGAGTTCGCTGTCAGCCGCGCGCATAAGCATGGATTCCATGCGCACCTTCACCTTTCAGTCAGTACTCAGAAAGGCGGCTTGAGCTCGGGAGTGGGTCTTGTCTCACACTACGCCAGGCCCTTCTCTGAAGTGGTATTGGATCCGATTGTTGTCTTGCCCCCTCCAGAGAGATTTGTCCTGAAGCTATGGCATGGGCGCGTTGATTCAGGTATCCCCTGGGCCAATGTTTATCTGCGCACAGGGGGCGGCGCTGAAGATCGCAGCGCCCAGCTTCTGATGCAGGTTGCAGCAGCCATGAAGACTATCTCCACCCCCTTTGTTATATCAGGGGACTGGAATATGTCCCCCAGGGACTTGCAGAATACGGACTTCTTAACGCTCGTAGGTGGGGTCATTGTCGCGCCAGATCACCATGCCTATGAGTCCGCGGGTGCCCAGTCGTTGATGGACTACTTTGTGGTTCACCCCTTGCTTGCGGCTGCCGTCAAGTGCGAGGTCTGGGAAACCCCCCTGATCCCCAAGCACCAGCCTGTAGCTCTCACTCTTCGTGGTAATCTCCACTCTGATTTGGTTTCTGTGTTTCGACGTCCTCCTCGTATCCCTGTAATAAGGCCTGTGAGGTGTACGAATTGCCCGCCTTCCTGGGATGCCTTTCCTGACCCTGATGCAGTCAACACTGTGGAAGATCTGGATCGCCTTACCTCTCCTTGGCTGAAGACGTCTGCTCAGGAGTTGGTTGCCCTATTCCAGTTGCCAGATCCGCAGGACTACACCAAGTGGGGCGAGCGCCCGTCTACTATTCAGATTTCGGTTTCCAGACTGTTTCCTGGAGGCGTGGTGTCGTCATATGAAGGCAGGCTCTGGAGGTATCTTTCCAACCGTCTTGGCACTCTTCTGTATCTGGCTGGCAAGCAGTTGTGGCCCGCATATCAGAGAGCCTGTCAAGCCCTGCGCAAATA